ACAGGATGCCCCGACTTCATCATACCGCTTCTGAGCAGGGACTCTCCATCTTAGTGTGGGAGTTTTCCATACCCCATGGAAAAGACAGGAAGAAGGGGTCTGGAACCTCCTTTGTTAGCAGGGCACTGCCAAAGTCTGAAATTCACTTCTTACCATTGCAATCTTTGCACAAGTATTCCCTGCTTGGAAGGGCTTTTCCGGACACGTGGTCTGCAGTGAAGCAGTGCCTCCATCGACATCCCAGCCTCCCAGCACAGCCCTTCCCCTGGTTTCATATTCCTGACAACACTTATCATGATGTAAATTATCTAACCAGGTTTTTTCGTTTACTGTTTAACCTACCCCTTGAAAGCTGAGAGCTGATTGGCCTTGCTTATGTCTGAATGCCAAGCACTGAGAGAGTGCCTGGAGAATGCCCCCAGCAGCTATCACTGGGAGGGAGGGAGGGAGAGCTCTTTCCCAGGACTCCAGGTATTGACCAAGCTGTCAGGGGGCAAAGCCAAGAGTGGGACAATGATGAAGGGGCTCCCACTGCCCACGAGAGGGATGCTAGACAGACAGCCGCTTCCCTTCAATCACGTGCGCTGCTTTCAGTATACTCGGCCAAGCCTTGGCAGTACTGGTATTTTCCCAGAAAAGTTAATTTTCTAAAGGAGTTCAGGAAGATAGGTAATAAGGTAATACGCCGTTAAGAAAAAAAGAACTGAAACTAGCTGTTCATTGATATTTTTCTTCCCTTGCTAAATAACTATCCCAAACTTAAGTTAGAAAATAAGGTTCTTAATACTCTTTTAAACATTTGTAGTTTGGAAGGAAGAAACCAGGGAGGTCTTTCAATTTCAAAATACGGTTTCATATCACTAAGTAGATGACTTACACTTTCCTGTGGGTAGTTTTCCTACCTTGAAGACGACAAATAAGCTAGACGTCTCCACTATAAAAAGAAGAGACTTGGGTCTAAACAATAAATCTCATCCAAGAGTCAATGACCTACACATTCCGAGAGCCCTGAGGTGGGAATTAGGCACCCCTTTCCCCTGGAAACCCCACATGCTTCTCCACTTTCCACAACAATCCTTTCCCGCAAGATTCTTCAGCCTGACTCCTGCTGTCCTCTGTCCTACATCCTCCACTTTCCCTTGAGCAGGGAGAACACACGGGGCCCGATGGCCATCACGTGAAAGGGGAAACCAAAATGATCCCAGGGGCTGTGAATCCACCCCAACCATGCTTGTGCCCACAGCCCCTAGTTCCCGGCGCCCTCCCTCCGGTCACTGAAGTACTAGAAACCGTTTAGAAAACCAACGGATGTACGCTGTAAATGAACACTCCACAAAGCGCAGTAGCGCTCACATATTCTGGAAGGTTCTTCTATCTGTGCTACATAGTTAGCTTTTGGGCGGTGGGAGCTAAACCCACCTGTGGACAACTGTCCCACCCCACCTTCCTACTCCAAAGCATGGCTGGTTTCATCATAAGTAAACTCTACGCCTTCCTTTTAGCCAGTGCCATCGTCCACGACCCACACTAAAGCACCCACAGAGCTGTCTGAAGTGCCGACCTTTCTCTCCTATCTTCTCAACGAGCACATGAGACGTAAAGGGGATACTTACTAGGTTCACTCAAGCAACAAATCCCAATTTATTTTTAAAATGAAGTTATAAACCAGTGGCATTTTTTTCGTAGATAGCAAGCTGAGTTCAGTCTTTGATCTACTTATTTCTCTCTTAACCCACTGTTACTGCTCGGTGTGAGTTTTATGACTTGTAAAAGACTGGGGAGAAAACCACATGCTGGCTACATGTCTACAGGCTGTCGATACTTACACAGGACCAGGATTCCTGTGAAGAGTGGGTTCTGATCAGGGATCACCTGAGTGAGAGGAATGATGAGTGGGACTCTGAACAGCCCACCGTGTGACCTTACTGATCCTGAACCCGTCGTCACCTAAGACTTACTGCACATCCCAGAGGCCCTCTGCTGCTCCCGTCACTGGCCCTTCTGTCACCCCAGCTTTGTTGAGTCGCCCACCTGACTTCTGCAGTGCCTTCCAGGACCCTGGCTCCCCTCTCTGACCTTTGTGGTTTGGGAGGAGGGTGGAGGTGGCAGTAAGGGTGTTTTGCATGCAATGTCTTCTTCTTGTGATGGCTACCCCTAGTTGTTCACCCTGGTGTTCCCACTTCTGTTCTGTCTCACTCAGCAGTCTCACAGCGTACCTCATTCCCTGCCACTGCTTCTGCCTGAGGGAGAACTCACTCTCAATTCTCCCCAAGTAGACCAGACTCTTCTCCTGGGCTCCACACGCCTATTTTCATTTCCTTCTGCCTGTCTGTCCTCAGACATCCAACAGACACCTCAAATTTAACACTACTTCCACCTGCTCACTTCACATTCCTGAGCCTAACTAGTTGGTGACAAAAACTGCTCAGTCACCGATCTGGGGTCCTGCAGCCCTTGCCGGCTCTGTATTTCTCACCAGTCCTGTGTACTCAGCGTCTACATGTAAATGCTTTGAGAATCTATTCTCTCCACCTTTCAAACTGACTCCTTGCCTCTTGTCTCTACCAACTCAGTCTACCTGCTTGCAGTCACCAGGATCAGTTTTCAAAATCAAGTCCAACGCCTACTGACGGAACCCTCTGCCTGGAGAACAAAGACCCAGACCACTGAGTGTGGCACACAGGACACTTCATGACCTACCCGCTGTTTACTTTCCTTGCTGCCTCTGCACCGTTCTCTCTGACAGCGCATGTGATCTGTGGATTCCTAACACACCAGGGGCTGCGTGTTTTCATGCCCCTGCCCAAGCCGCTCCTCTTTCCTGGCATGCCTTTGCCACATAATGCATCCCGTGTCTTCTTTCAAAACGCTGAGAAAACGTTAGTTCCACAGGGACGGCTTTCTTAGGCCCAGCTCTCCACAGGAGTCCCTGCTCTTACTCCTGCAGCATGCGTACTCCCCACGCCGCCCTACGTCTCCCAGAGGGTCCTTGGAGGTGGGGTGCTTCCAGTATCCCCAGCAATTGATACCCTGTTGGTATTCAATGACTACTTGGTATTGGAAATAAAAGGTTAATTTACAACCACCCTAGCATTTACAGTGCTTCATTTAAAAAACTCTCCCACAAAGAAAACAAAGCTGGTAAGTTGTGAAAATCAATGTTGCTAGTGCTTGCAGCTTTGCAAGATAACAGGCCTGTGTTTATTGCTTGTATCTGTTAATGATCCCAACACACATTTATTGGAGATAAATAGAGCCCATCCTGGACAAATCTGCCAGTCACCGAATCGTTTTTTCACCGTAGCCACCTGTTTTCACAAGCTTTCCACACCGTGCCAGCCGTCTGCTTCTCCTCCCAAACAGGCCTGCAGCTCCCTCAGTTCGCTTGACAAAACTGCTAGACTTTTACAGCAGTGGTTTATACTCGACTGCGCCGAGCATCCTAACGTAACAACTGAGTCACGCTTTCACATGTTAGTTCTCCTCTACCTCTAATTTTAGAACAGAAATTATAGAAAAACACTCCTGAAAGGCATTACAAGCATGAAACATTAGCCGTTTCGAGTCGAGCCTGCTGAGTAAACAGCAGGCCCTAATGTGGACTCGGAGGAGGTACAGGTGCTCAAAGACACGCGTGCCTTCTGGCACGCCTAGTGGTCTCGGCCTCCTCGGGACGTTCATCTGAAGAAGCTGCTGGTGAGCTCTTCAGAGAATACCACGTCCTGCAGTCACCAACTAACCCTGGACTCTACTGTCCCCTCCACTACAGTCCTTAGTCCCACCTGCCCCCTCCTCAACATAAATCAACTTTCTTCTTAATGTTCCCGGCTTCTCTTACCTCAATCTCTATCTTCCAATTCCTTTGTCCTAAGATTCAGACATACTTAATGTTTTTTGGGGTTTTGGTTTTTTTTTGCATTGTAGTTACCCTGTAACAATTTTGTATTTACAACCTCTTCAACTTCCACATGACTGCTAATGAAGAACTGGCAGCTGTGGCATGGGAACACTTCCTAAGAGCAGTAATGGTACCATCAATTTTAGAAAAACTCTACTACTTTGGTGCTAAAAAGACTAACAACATAGAAAGGTCTCATCCACATAACAACAGGTAAGAAGAGCCGAGAAAAAAAGAAAGAGTGTACTATCTGCTGCTTGTTAAGCCCTCCGACATCTGTAAGGAAAACCCACCCTTCCTGAGTGGGGGGGCAGGAAAGAGGGCAGGGGTGGGAAGCCTCCCAACCTGACCACTGCAATGGCTCAGAGCCCTTTATCTTCTTGAAGTAGGAGAAGAGAGTGCTGTTCCTCCAGAGAGGCGCTCAGAGGCTGAGGGCCTGGCTTAGTGAGCACGGGGCAGTTCCCTTGCCACTGGCCACCTTTGGCCTCTCACCTGAAATAATCTCTGAAACTGCGGATTGGGGATTTTGGTGGTTGGGAACAAGTCTTCCACGGTGTCCTCCTCCTCCTCGTCTTTCCTCACCAGACTCATGGAGTCAATCAGAGCGTCCACCGCACTCAGCTGGGCCTCTGGAAGCAACAGTGGGCAGGGGCAGGAAGACAACAAAAGTGATTCTCTCTACGATCCTCCACCAACACAAATGCTTCCATTCACAGAGATTCGCAGCGATATTGGCAGGCTACACCGTCCGGCTTTGCCAAAAAACAATCTCTATTCAAAAGACTGGTAATGAGCTGAAGGAGAAAAACATGTGTAAAAGGCCTCTGATAAGCCCCATCAGCGTTCCACGGGTTTGGTACACCTGCCCTGGAGTACACCAGCCCAGGAGGAGCTCCACGGGAGCACAGCAACGGGTTCCTTCCCGCTGGCCACTCCCCAAGCCTCGTGGCACGGCCCATACTCAGCCTACAGGACGGGATGTGCATGTGTCTTGAGCCCACTCCGACCAGACTCTAAGTTCCTGAAGGGAAGAACAGGCTTTCCTCTGCTCGGGCCTCTCCTGATGCTGAGCAGAGTGCAAGGGCTGCTCCACAGAGACTTGCCCAGACAAGGAAGGGCATGGTCCAAAGGCAACTTTCCACAAAAGTTTCTACCGGCAGCTCCAGGCATGGCTGTCAGTCCTCGGAGTCATAAAGCAAGTCAGCCGTTAAACTTCAGTGCTGTTTTGGGGTCACTCCCCATCACACGCCGTTCCAGAGAAGTCTATTATGCTTTCAATTCTTCACTCCTACAAGTACCCTTTCTGAACAGCCATTACAACAGGCTTCTGATCAAGAGACAGTTCTTGCCTCTCCAGACACGGGCACTGCAGGGTTTAGTGCTGGCTGTGGGAGCACTGCTGTGGTTTGTCACAGCTGTTACAAGCCGGTGAACCCTATGGGGTTCTACAGTCACACAGGGTCGTTAAGGGCCACCACTGCCTCCAGGGCACCTAGTACCAGCAACAGCAAATGCACACGTCTCCTCTGGGTAAATGCCGACCAACTTTAAGTATTCTTTCCTTCCCAATGGAGAACATCTATAAGACATGTGTAGCTCATAGAAAACCAGTCAAGGACAAAAGGGCTTCAATGTTTTAGATCCCGAGTGCCTTGTGGCAGGGACTGAATCAGGACTTCTACCTCTTAAAGACACAAGGGACCCCTGAGAGAACGAACCCTGTAAAGATGTTGGCTTTGAGGCCAGGGCCCTGGTGAAAACCTCGTGAGCATTGTGACACGGCGCTGTGGCCTGAGATCAATTTGAAAGAGAAGATGCAGGAGACCCAAGGACAGACAGAGCAAGCTAATTCAAAAGCTGCTTGACCATCTGCAGAACTGTGATCACCAACCCCCGCCCCATCCCAACTGTGCCTTTAGCAACAAGGAACGTTCCCCTAGACAACAGGGCCCTTTCTCAACCAGTGAGGGGACCCGCTTTGCTCTCCAGGCACCTGAGCTATGTTTTGGGGGCCTGCTCACCTTGGAGGGAGACCTGTTCCCCTTAACGAAGACTTTTGCTTAGCTCTTTGCTGCAGGGGTGGCGGTGGTGTGTGTGTGTGTGTGTGTGTGTGTGTGTGTGTAACACACACCCCTGAGGAAGAGAAACCTGGTCTTGGCAGTAGGGCTTGACATTCCTCTGCAGGACCAAACCAAACCACACCAAACTCAATGCCGTCAAGTCAATCCCGACTTCTGGCGACCCTACAGGAGAGAGTAGAACTCACGGCCCCTGTGGGTTTCCAGGACCAGCTCTTGACCAAAGTAGGAAGCCTCCTTTCTTCCCCTGCTGCAGGACAAACCATCGCAGACTGTGTCTGGTAAGAAGGCGCCTTCTCCTCAGCACTTGGGTGCATGCTGCCCGTCTGGCCATGCTGCAGACTCAGCCTTGTGAGGACGGCTAGCTCCCCTACAGCACACTGCTCCCCAGGGGTCCAACAGGATGGAGAACCCGGTTTGTAGGCTCACCTTGAAATTTCCTAATCCGACATGCCATTTGTATCACATCTCAGCTTGGAAATGCAAGTACGCTTCATTTTTCATTGACTTTGGTACATTTCAACCATCTGCCTGTGACTGTATTTTAACGACTACAGAACTTATGTCTACAAAAACCATTCGGCACAGCACTCTGACATTGAAGACGGATGCTCAATGAGAGCCTTTCTGGTCGAGCTCCAAGCACAAGCGTGGGGCTTCAACAAGTAGAGGGAAAAGCCCATTATGTTTCGGTTCCAGAACTTTCTGAAGCCAAACATAAGGAATGCTGATACTTGGACCATTCATTACTGCATGCCACAAGGAGAACCGTTCCCTGCAGAGCCAGGCCTCTGCAAGGCCGCCACGGTCCATGTCGGGCGGGCGGGAGCCATTACAGCTTTGGCCCTGGAAGTCGACTCATTCCCGCAAAGGGACCCTGCTCACAGGCAGAGACTGCACCAATTGCCAGCTGCTCCGTCAGCCCAAGTCGGCGGGGAAAACTAGTGTGTGGAGAGCGAGCGCAAACCTAGCCCTGCTTCCGGCAAAAGGCACGGTGAGTCACCTCATCGTTGCTGTGGATGACTGGAATCTGGCTAACTCCTCCCTGGGAGATCAGTGCCCCACCAGTGACTGCAGACAGGGGATTTCCCAAGAACAGGCTGTGTTTCTAGCCAAGTAGTGAGCTAAATAGATACACACTCACCTGTGGGAGTGCATTTCTTAATATTTTTCAAGGATGGAAACATGTATTGCCGCAAGTCTTCCATGAAAGGCAGCTGCACATACACCAAACACTAATGGGGAAAAAAGGGGGTAAAAGCAGAAACCACTGAATTAATGAGAAAATATAAAGCTGGTCCCATAATCGACTTCACAAGCCAGACAGTGAAACTCTAACACAAAAGGCTCAGTGTGCTGACATCTGCTTTGAGGTAAACACCACGAAAAACATTAAACATAAATAAATGCTCAGAAGAAAGGACCAAGAATAGCTGCAAAAAGCCTGGCCAATAACCGAAGAGGAGAGCCCGGTGGCTGGAAGGCAGTTCTAGAAGTTCACACAGCTGCCTTCTCTTTCCAGTTCTAGCACAGAAACTTCTCTGGCCGCAACAATGACAAGAAATGGAGGCTTTTTTCAACTACAAGTGCACTAAATGAAGTGCGCTTCACAAGGACTTCCTCCCACTCATCTGTCTTCACAGTTCCCATCTGTATTTGGGTCTGAGAAGGTGATCGCTGGATCTGGCACACAGAAAGGAGGCCACGGCCCATCTTTACTGATGTGATTCACTAAAAAGCTCCCTCTATGAACTCATTGCTATGGAGGTGCTTCTGACTCCCACTGACCCTGTAAGACCGAGCAGGACCGTGTCTCCCTTTAGAGTAGAACGCCTTTTCTCCCGCAGTGCCTGGTGGGTTCCAACGACTGGCCCTGCGGTTCAGCAGCCCACGCTTCCAGAGTTTACGCTCTCTCCAAGCTAGTCAAGTGTGCTCCACTCTGAGCGTGAGTTGGGAGTTTGCAGAATCTCAGGCCACATCGTAGGCCTACCAAAGCAGAAGCTGCATCTTCACAGGGCCGCCAAATGCTTCCCTGAGCCCCAAGTCAATGGGGAGAACCACTGTTCAGAGAGATGAATGCACACCTGGCCCTGCTACCAGCAAACCACCTGGTGACTCACCTCAGGGTCACTGTGGATCGTTCACATGGGAGAGGGACTACTGAGAACAAAGAAAGCAACACGGACAGAAAAGGCCTATGGGTTTTACCTCGTAGGCTTCCTTGATAAGTGGAAACGCCACGCCAACTTGAGGATTAGCTCTTTTGTCGTAAGCATATCGCACGATAGCCACCATGTCCAATTCGTCCAGGGCATGGATCAGGGAGGAGAGTGCCACCGCAGCTGCCTAGGAAGAAAGAGGCAGGTGGGGACACATATCCAACACCTGAACACTCAGAATAGCGCTGAATGCTTACAAGATTACCATCCACTGCCGTCCTCTTTGCTTCTGTGGCAAAGTAAAACAAATTAGCACTACGGCTCTTCTTTTTATTTCTCTAACTCCCAGACAATGATTGGATGGACCAGGCAAATCAGGTGGACAGGCCTCTAACTCAGGAAGTGGTCAGTTTTTGCCATCCCCTTGTATATTAGCGCAGGAACAGAGAGAATCCCAGGAGCAGCAGCCAGGCTTCCTGGCCCACGGAGGCCGAGGCCCAGGGACCATGTGACTAAGGAAAAGCTGGCTGGGAAGAGGCACTGCTGTGGGCTAATGACGGCATCCTTAATGTTATCTGATCCTGGCTTGAGGTAAAGCTTGCTCACTTCCCTGATAAACCTCCAGGACCATGGGTCTGGTCTGTGAGTTCTGCGCGACCTTAAGCAACGGATTATCAAGCCAACCGAGAAGTTGTTGGTGTGGGGACAGGATGAGAGGGAGGCCTCAGTCTTGCAGCAGCAGGCCTCGGGCTGGAAGGAGCTGCATTCTACTTCTCCCGTTGAAGGAGGAAGAAGTCAGATAGGGCCCACACCGTTTACTCAGCTCCAGGTCAAACTGTACACCGCATGTACTTTTCATCACATGTGCGCTTTTGGTCCTTTGCTGCATTAAGGGAACTCTTTCTCTTCTCCATCTTCCATTCCCTCTGAACCCATACCGCCACCCTCTAAATAGACCCAGTCTCCATGCATCCAAAGCACAATCTGCCTTTGCTCTGTCCTCTGCATAAATTACTACCTGTCGTTTCCGTTTTCTTTCTCTTCAACTCTAAGGTTGTGAGATAACAATCTTGCTCTTCTCATGGCACCGACACAATTATTATTCATCCAGTCTGAAGACAGCCTTCACCTCACTCTGAAATTATCCTCTGAAAGTCACCCTGACTTCCCAATCGACAAATGCTTGGTTCCCATTCTAGCTGACCTGCCAGTGGACCTGCTCGTCCCCACGCTTCTTCCTTCTTTGGATTCAGACCCGGCGCTGCCCTGGTTCCTCCTCGCCAGGCACTGCCCTTCTCCCCACGCATCTGTACATTCAGCTCGCGCCCCTTCTCGCCTCTTCTCCCTCTAAAGCTCCACTTGGGGATTATTTCATCTGGTTCCACGTGCCAGTGATTCAAAATCTTGTAAGACCTAGATTCAAGCTGCCAATTAGTGGTTGGCAGAGACCTTACCTGGTTATACAGCAGGTATCTCTCTAACCCGACCGAGTAAAATTACCCGTAGTACTTTCCTCTACTTGCATCGCCATCACCATCCACCTGGTGGCATTTTGTTAGAGCAGCCCTAGGAAATGAAGATACAGCCTCACGTGGGAACCATTCACTCGGAGACAGCAATCCTTGTTGACAAATAACTCTTGATCTTGTTAGTTCAATCCACCCCTCTGGGTATGAAGCACAGTTTAATTTCTATTCCACAGGATGATCCTCTAGATGCATGAAGAGCATTACGATATCTGCCATCATTCCTACTCCCTTCTTTGCCTACACAAGGGGTTTCCATTCAATTTTCTCCTCCATTCGCCCCTGGGAGTCCTCATATGCCAGTTGATTGCGACTCGTAGCAGATCCATGTGGGGTTGCCGAGACTGTACAGCTTTATGGAAGCAGGCAGCCTCACCTCTCCCATGGAGCATCTAGTTGGTTTGAACCACCAACCTTACGGTGAGCAGCCCAATTAGATAATAAAATTCTTTGACTATGGCTGAAGAACTCACTATAAGAGAGAGCAGCCTTTTGCTGTTAGTAGATAAAATACTAGTTAGCTTTCGTTTTCCCTCGAGTGACCACAGAGCTGGTTGTGTTTGGGGCTGGGTTGGAATTACTGGACGCCTGCCACAGGTTATGCCCAGCAGAAAGTCTAATAAGTTATCAAGCATAAGGCTTCGGAAACTTTTGCCACTCACGACCCCTTTTCATCCAAGAAATTTGTGACACGGAAAATGCTGCCTGAAATGCCTCAGATTCATTAAATGTCTGCTTATCTAATGTTTGGTCGTTGTATGTTCGGCAAGCTCTTATTGTTGCCAAATTTCTCAGGAGGCCCACATTCCGTTCCTCGATCCCAGTGTGGTTTCCAGCCACAGTGTAAACCGCTGTACTCCAGCACGCGGGCCTTAGCCCAGCTCTGTGGGGCCTCGTGCTTCTCCACGCCCAGCCAGCCTCGTGGAGGGCTACGGATGCTCTTTGTGGAGAAGGTCAGTAAGTGGGTGTTAACATTTCAGGCCAAGTTGAAATGATAGTTTATGTGTGGATTGACAATATATACCAGAACTTAGAGATTCCCAACAGCATTTGTTTCAGGAGAAGTCCAGGAAATGGGCATCTCAAATGTGAGGATTCACGTATGTCTACTCAGCTGAGCACGCTGCTCTCCTCCTCATTTCAACAGCTCTGATAGAATGATGCCATGCCACCGACTAGATCAGCAAGCAGCAGCCACGCTTCAGAAGTGGGGCAAAAAAGAGGGCTAAGGAAACGGGACAGGCCACGTAACTGCCTGAGGTCCACCCCCACCCCTACTTCAAACAAACCTTTATTGTTTACTAATTTCAAATGCACATATCTCTGGGGCTTAGGAAACTGCTCAAGTACTTTAAGTAGATATTAGCTTGTGATCATCCATTTAAGATCAGTATCTCTAAGGAAATAAAACTCTCCAACGCTCAGTTCTGATTTGAAGGGTGAGCAGAGAGAGCCGCAGGGAGGGCAGATGGGAGCAGAGGGTAAGGGATCTGGGGAGAGGAGGACGGGTGGGAAGAGGAGGGGACAGGGCGAATCTCCCAGTGATGGAACCAGCCCCAGCAGGCACTGGCGCCCATCTCCTGGAAATGTACTCCTGACACCTGCTCATGGTGAATGACGGAACCGCCAACCTGGCCTCAAACCCTCTCTGACAGTCATTTCACCATGAACCCCCACACCTAGATGCAGTTCCACACATCTGTTTTTAATACTCATCGGGCCTCTCACTGAAGAACTAGATTCTCATGCCTTGGATTTAAGCTACGACAAACTCATTTCTCCATTTTCAAAGGTAAAATTTTCTCACTGTTACTGCAAGAATTAACATCATTCTAGGTCATAAAGTTCCAAACAATTCACGTTCAGAAAATGACACTCAATTCTGTGTCTCTACCACAAAAAGCCATCCCTGTGAACTTACCTCATCATCTTTTGCAGCAAAGACCTTTAAAACTTGATGTCCCATAAAGAATTTTATCTGGACCTATAAGAATATGTGACGGGAAAAAATGGTTTTAACTCAAAATAAAGACACATGTAACTATATGGTCACAAGTCACGACAAAATCCTACTCAAATGTTCTTACTGAAAATGACATTCAAAGGCACTAAAAAAATATTCCACTTGAGGTTCAATTCAACACAAAAAGTCTTTCACATCCGGTAATGTGAAAAATCACTGCTTTGAGCATTGTTGTGCCAACGATGGATAGGACGTAGTCCTGTCCGTGCAGTGTTTAGGTAAAGAAGAAATTAATGATTTTTAATTATTTGAGTCCAGAGTTACCGGGTGCCAAGGGAGCACATATGGTCATGAGAGATCAGAGAAGGCCATCAAGCAGTGACAGCTCAATTAACACAAGATGGGAAAAGGAGAGCAGGGAGGAACGTGGGGCACAAGCTCCCCTGGGAGAGAGGGTGTGAGAAAGCACACAGAGCAACAGAAACACAGGGAGCAGGGAGAGCCCAGAGAAGAGGAGCGAGGACGGGGTCAGGAAGGTCCTTGTGGGTGGACTTCATCTGAAGAGCGCCAAGGAGACACTGCTCAGCAGCACAGAGTCCGACACTCCGGTTAGCAGCTGAGGATTCCGAGTGCGAAGTGAAGAGTCCATCAGAGAGGGCCCGGGCTGGGAGGAGGGAAACTGGCTTAAAAAACGAAACAAACTGCCTGTACTTCCCTCCCTTCAAGTTCAATTCATTTATCGAGGAGAGTCTCCGAAGAGGCAAAGTAGCCCGACCAATACCTGATTAGAAAATACTGAAGGGCTCTTAAAATCACAACTATCTGCATTTACTTACCAAGCTCGATCCTCTCTGCTCTACCTAACCCTGAACTGGAGTGCATTTATAAGAACATGTTAGGTGCTGTAGGGCAGTGTTTACAGTTTACAGTTCTGTTTTCTGTTCTCCCACCTCTAAAGCAAGACGTTATAACAACGTTAACCAGTAAGAACAGCTCAAGACGACAGAATCTCAAAGGTATGGATGTGGGCCTAAAATTCATACAACCCTCATTCCAACTTTACTTTCCCATTTGAAACCCATTATTCCAAGAAATATGGGAATAATCCTATACTTCCCGTGTATTATATTCATACAGTTCAGTGTTTCCCTGTGGTAGTCACCTAATCTGGTGTCAATTTAAGGATTAAGAGTATAGGGGTGGAGTCTAGACTGTCAATCTGGAGACAGCCAATGAGACTTTGGTGTCTCATTGGGCATGGCCTTCTCCTGAGAATTCTGGAAAATCTGGTACTTCCTCCTTGGAGGTGGAAGACATCTCTCTCTCTCTGCTACTCCCTGGGAGACATTGCAGAAGACCTGCCACATGGACACAACCAGACCTCGGAAGCCAGAGAAGCCACAGAGAGACCCCTGCGGCACTGAGATGCTTACAACACCACTGGACCCAAGGACTTTCTATCCACCGGCTTGTGATCGTCCTGCATTTGGCTTCATTGCATGTGTTTCGTGAGTCTGAAGAGGACTTTATAGATTCGTATTGGACATGTGGGCTAATATCGGACTTATGGACCTGATCTGGACTGGGCTGGGATGTTTTTTCAATGTTCAATTCCTCTTGTGTATAAATCTCTTTCTATACACATAGGTGTGTCAATGGATTTGTTTCTCTAGTCTACCCAGAACAACACATTCCCAAAGCGGGCAATACTGAGGAGCACTGGAATGATCCAGGGGGCTGGAAAAGCAGATACCTACACTTTATCCTGGATGTATCCAGGCTATAATACAAAAGTTTCAATTGCCGTGGGAGGCACCAAGTAATTTTTGTTTTTTTCTGAAAAGGGGTTACTATGTCAAATAAGTTTGGGAATCTACAGATTTACTTGTCCTATTAGAATTAATAATAGATTTTGTTAATGAACAGTTAGTGATACCATTCCTAAGGCTCCCAAATAACTTCTCAAAGAATAGTCAGACATGTGAGGAGAGTTCTGGCTAAATTATTATTCCCTTCTATAACTGAATACTCACAACACTGACACCTCGGAGAGAGTTAAGTGGAAAGGCCTCTTGAAATTAAAAAAAGTGAAAAAAGTTGGTCCTGGCCAGCACAGGGTCCATGAATTTGAGTTAGGTTGGACTGGGATGCCTTACATAAAATTATTTCTTGAAATAAATTATTTATTGTACATATATGAGTATCACTGCTTTTATTTCTCTAGGCATGCCAGCTTGATGCATTGGGGAATCAGGAACATTGTCTTAGGGGACACCAAGGTCAAGTGGCATAGCACAGTCCACAAAGACAACATTCTGTAGCCTACTTTGGTGAGTAGTTATTAAGGGTCCTAAAAGCTCGTGAGCGGTCATTTCAGTTATGACTATTGGAAAGAAGAGTGATGAACATCAAAGACACATGGAAACCATTAGTCCAACGGACAAATACACCATCCAAAGATCCATCTCCACAAGCTTATCTCTGAGACCAGAAAAGTGACGGAGTGCCAGCGACCACAACCAAGGGCTCTAACGGCATCACATTAGAAGATCCTGGACAGAGTGGGACAAGACGTGGAACAAAACTCAAAATCACACAAGAAGGCCCGTTTCACTGGTTGTATGGAGACTGGGCGAACTCCTAAGACGACGGCCTTCAGAAGTCACCCTTCAGGTCTGAACTCACCCCCAAGGCTCAGCTGTCAGCCAAACAACAAAGAGCTCTCTAAGGGGTCCAGTAACACCAGTGAGGAATGCACACCTTAGAGCAGTGGTTCTCAACCTGTGGGTCACGACCCCTTTGGGGGTCGCACGACCATTTCACAGGGGTTGCCCGATTCATAACAGTAGCAAAATGACAGTGATGAAGTAACAATGAAAATAATTTATGGTTGGGGGGGTCACCACAACATGAGGAACTGTATGAAAGGGTCATGGCATTAAGAAGGGTGAGAACCACTGCTTTAGAATAATCAGCTATTTGAAAGCAAAAGGGCAGCATTTACCCCAAGACAATCAGAAGGCTTAGAAAAGAAAGAGGGAAAAAAACCCAGGAAACACAGGGAGGTAATGAGGTAAGTAATGTTAAATTGTAAGTACGGGTTAAAAAGGTAAAACAAAATGAGCATGAATTATCGAATGGAAACATGATCTGCTCTGTAAAACTTAACCCAATTCACAATAAAAAGGTTCTTTTTAACAAATAAGTAAATGGTATGTGTGTGTGTGGGGGGGGGGGGACATATCCCAGGATACCTGGGAACCCTATTGAAATGTAGATTCTGATTCCGTATATCTAGAATGGAAATGCAAGTTGTCACCAGGAAATCAAGCAAAATGAATTGATTTGAAGTTCCGGTTTCTATACACAGGTCTGAACAAGGGTGCTTTTTTACAGAAAAGACTTACATGCATTGTTGTTAACAATCCAAGTTTTAAGTTGACACACCTCCACAAATGAAAATTTTTTTTAAGGGGAGCATATTTAGAGTAACTTGCTAGAACATTATACATACATAATCTCAAATTCCAAAAAGCATTTATCTTTACCATTAAAAGCTTCTACCTTAGCAAGTACATACTGCTAAATTTATGCCCTGACGATGTCAATCTAAGTTTGAGCAGCCCATGGAAACAGTCCCCCACCCTCACTGCAGCACCAATGAGATACATAGGCCTGTGAGTGGAAGCAGCATGAGGAAGTTTAAGGCCAGTGTATGGTGTACATACTGTTGACCCTTGAACACCACAGATTTGAAACACAGGGGCCCTGGTTACAGAGAGTTTTTCCTGCTACTATTGTAGGAGGCATAGTGGATTGTGCACTGGGTTGCTAACCACAAGTTGAGCGGTTTGAAACCAGCAGCAGCTCCCCAGAAGAAAGATGAGACTTTCTGTTCCTGTAAGATTTACAACCTCAGAAACGCACAGGGGCAGTTCTACTCTGCCCTATGGGGTTGCTATGAGATAGAACTGATTGGATGGCAGGAAGTTGGCTTGGTAATTGCAGGAGCTCAAGGGCTGTCTCTGTTTAAAACGCCGCGATGCTCATCATCTCCACATGAGCAGCTGGCATGGCCATGATTATCAATACATGCAGCTTCAAGCAGTGTCACAAGACTGAATCCACCATAATAAAAAAGACTCAGTCATCGTTTCCATTCCGACTCACAACGTCCTTAAAGAGGGGGGAAATTCCAAGTGGGTCTGCACAGTTCACACCTGTACAGTTCAAAGGTGAATTATAAATTATACAGATTTTCAAATGTGGAGAAGGTGGGAACTCTTAACCTCAGCACTGCTCAAAAGTCGAGTCTTATTTTCCTAATTCTTACTTACTACTTGAGTAACAAATGAATCCTTTCAGTTCCTATGGTCTTGGTTCGGATAAAATACACATAATTATATAGTTCATATTTGTTAGGATCTATCTCTTTGGTTACACACCACAAACGTCTTTAATCTAAGATCTCTAAGAATCTTGTAATAACCACTTCAGAGTAGCATAGGGTGTCCCTGGGTGGCACAAGCAGATGGTTCTAAAGGTTGGTGTTCAAACACACCCACAGGCACAATGTAGGAAATACCTGGCAATCTGCTATTGTACAGGTGGTAGCCACGAGAGCCCAATGGCAACTCCACCCAAACAGCAGGGGGAACTCCAGCCTGCCCTCTGCGGGAGCGCTGCACAGCACACAAGGCAGCTGGGGCAGCCCTCTACAGCGCTCCTCGCTGCTGAGGAAACCTCCGATTGGCCTCTACAGTGATCTTGACAACTAGGGCAATTGCGGCCAGCACCAGTGGGACCCTACACCAAAAGGGCACACCAACCTGTCACCTTGGGGAGGGTTTAAACCCCTCCGGCCTCACGTTCAGGCGATCAGGGATCAGCTATCTCTTTACTCTTTTTTTCTTCTTTTTCCACCACAGTCAATCTTAGCGAGCACAATTGTGTTTCCCCCCGCTTCTTTCTCTTTTTTTCTTTCTTTCTTCTCTCTCTTTTTTTTTTCTTTCTTCTTTTCTGTTTCTCTCCCTCTTTCCTTCCACATGCCCCTACCCTCTTCAAAGGGCAACTCTCCGTCCACCCAGCAGGGAGCGCTCCAGCCTGCCTCTTCTGGCAGTGATGCACACGACACGTGGCAGTGCTATACACAACCCGGCACAGCACAGGGCTCAGCTACCTCTTTATCTATTTTTTTTCTTTCTTTTCTTCTTTCGCCTTTTCTTTTTCCCTCTTCTCTCTTTCCCACCACGGTCACAAATAGACAAGTGAGATATACTGAAGATAAAACACCTGTGTACATTGAAAGAATTCACCAAGAGAGTAATAAGAGAGCCCACCAACTGGGAAAACATCTTTAGCAATGACACATCAGACAAAGGCCTTTTTACTAAAATCTATAATACTTTGCAAGCTTGCAATAAGAAAAACACTAACTGCCCACTGAGGAGGTAGGGAAAGGACCGGAACAGAAGTTTCACAGGGGCAGAAATCCAAATGGCAAATAAACATATGAGAAAATGTTCCCGATAATTAGCCATAAGAGAAATGCAAATTAAAACAACTACGAGATACCACCTAACACCCTCAAAGATAGCCCAATTCAAAAAATCAGAAATTAAAAAGTGTTGGAGGGACTGTGGTGAGATAGGAACTCTGGTCCACAGCTGGCGGACCTGTAGGTATGTAAAGCCACTATGGAAATTGATTTGGCGATATCTAAAACAGATGGAAATCAAACTAACATATGACCCAGCAATCCCCCTACTGGGCATATGCCCAGAAGAGGCAAGAAACAAACCACAGACATCTGTGCTCCAATGTTCGTACGGCACAGTTCACAATTGCAAGGAGTTGGAAACAACCCAAATTTCCATCAACAGACGAATGGATCAAAAAACTGTTGTACATATACATACAACGGAGTATTACGTATTGCTAAAAAGCAGTGATGAACACATGAAGCACATCGCCGCATGGGAAGAACTAGAGGAAATTATGCTAAGCAAAGTAAGCCAAGCACAAAAGGACAAGTACAACATGAGTCCGCTGAGGAAAGCTTAAAAAAAAAAAAACAGCAAACAGGGCTTAGGGGAAAAGGTACTACATCTCTGGGGTGAGGTCCAGCAACTACGGCAGGGGCCAAACCCAGTCCAGGGATACATACGGCAGCCAACTAATAAGAGGGGGAAGGAATGAAGGGGGGGAAAAAAAAGACGGGTAGGGGGGAACAGGGCACTAACCCACCCAAGGGGAGGGTATTGTTTATATCTTCACAGGAGAGGGAGAGAGAGACCACAGGCTTCAACCAGATGTGCCAAGACATGAACACAACATACCGGCATGTACCAGGAAACCAATAGAGAGGTCTGTGGGGCAGGCCCCATCTCAACTATGTGAACACCTCTCACCCCTCAGAAGAATGCACCTCAGAGGGCAGCACTGGGGCTACAGCTTGGGGAGAGGGGAGCACTTCTGATTAGAGGGCACGGGAGAAACAAAAAGGGATGGAGGAGGCGGGGAGGATACCCTGGCCCACCAAGTCCTGTGGACGATATTCCTGCTCAGAGCAGACAACGCAGAGAGGACCATAGGGCCGGCCCGACCACGACACATGACATCCTAACTAAACCATAGCGCTGCAGGGGACAGCACTGGAGACACAGTGCGGGAATTGTGCACAATCTGATCCCATCACACTGGGGTGAAACACGAAGGGCATGCAACATAGCAGCAAGGGGAGCAAAGTGATGAAATCCCCGGGGAATCCCAAAAATAGGCTTTGGAGACAGAGTGTGGCACCCCATTAGACTCAACTGGAAAAGACTCATAAAGGCCAACAAACAGACCTTGAACTATTTATAGGCCTTTCCATTTTTGTCAATGGCTTTCTTTTTGTTGTTGCTAAGGTTTTGCTCACCTTGACTTCCTTTGTTGTTTATTTGGCTTTGCCTGGTTTTTGCACTTATTAATGTATCTGCATGTCTATCTATGTAAGATAGGCGGGATAAATAATTCGGAGATGAAAAGAACAGGACCAATGGTTTTGGGTGGATACAGGAAAAGGGGAGGTGGGAGAAAGGAAGGGTGGAGGGGGGGGGGGGACCAACCCAGGGACAAGGGAACAACAAGTGAACTAAAATCAATGGAAGGAAGGCCGTACAATGCCTAGTGGGACTCAATCAAGGGCAATGTAGCAGCCTGGAATTACTAAACCCAAATGAAGCCTAACATGATGGTGGGACAAGAGGAAAGTGAAAGGAAATAGAGGAAAGAACCAGGAGGCAAAGGACATTTATACAGGTCTAACTACAGGCAAGTACATATGTAAATATATATATGAGAGGGGTATAGAACTATAGAACTATGTATTCATATCTATATGTTAAGAATTAAGGTTGCAGACGGATATTGCGCCTCGACTCAAGTACTCCCTCAACACAAGAACACATTTTTCTAACAATCCAGCATTCTGTAATGCTTACCCACCCGACATGATCGCTGAAGACACAATGGGTGCATAAGCAAATGTGGTGAAGAAAGCTGACGGTGCCCAGCTATCGAAAGATATAGCGTCTGGGGTCTTAAAGGCTTGAAGATAAACAAGTGACCATCTAGCTGAGAAGCAACAAAGCCCACATGGAAGAACCACACCAGCCTGTGTGATCACAAGGTATTAATGGGGTCAGGTACCAGGTATCTAAGACCCAGAACAAAATCATACCCAGGTTGAACAGGGAGGCGGGCATGGAGTGGAGACCCAATGCCCATCAGTAGACAATTGGACATCCCCCTGCAGAGGGGTCACAGGGAAGAAATGAACCAGTCAGGGTGCAGCATAGCATCAATGAAACACACAACATTCCTCTAGTTCTTTAGTACTTCCACCACTCTCTGCCCCACTATCATGACCCCAGTTCTACCTTACAAATCAGATTAGACCAGAACATGCACACTGCTACAGACAAGAGCTCACAACACAGGGAATCCAGGATAGATAAATCCCCCAGGACCAACAAGGAGAGTAGAGATACCAGGAGGATTTAGGGGAGGGTGGGGGGAGAAAGGGGGAATCGATCACAAGGATCAACCTACAACCCCCACTCAGGGGGACAAACGGAAAAGTGGGTGAGGGGCGACGGAGGATGATGTAAGATATGAAAACAATAATCTATAACTTATCAAGGGTTTGTGAGGGAAGGTGGGTGGGAATGGGAGGGGGAAAATGGGGAGCTGATATCAGGGGTCAAGTGGGAAGAGAATGCTTTGAAAATGATGATGGCGGCATATGTGCAAATGTGCTGACACACTGGATGAATGCATGGGTTGTGATAAGAGATGTAAGAGCCCCCAGTAAAAGTATTTAATAATAATTTTTAAAAAGAGAGAGAGAGCCCAATGGAGCAGTTCTAGGCTGTAATACATGAGGCCACTGGGAGTCAGAACGGAGCCAAGAGCATGGGCTTACTTTGGAGTAGTATAAAGCACTGAGTGGCTTTCTGCACTTCCCGCTGTGTCTCATGTACATCTCTGCACTGGGGTGAAAAATAAATGACCGGTAGACCAGTTTTCACATCCCAGAACTCGTATGTTGGGAGTTCTTTGGTAATTCAAAACTTACCTGACCTTTATTCCCCCAAACACCATTTAAGCACAACAGTTTAGAACTGAACCCTTTAGAACTATGATGAGCTATGACGTCCGGCAAAGCTAGGAAGTCACTTGGAGTTGAATGCATGGAAGTCCCTTACATAATCCCTTGGTTACTTTCCTCAAAGAACCAAAGATGATGACAGTTGACAGTACCTCCAGACTGTGTGTAGGAGGAACTAAACTTGAGATACATACATATCATAAACAGAGGACCAATCAAAAGTGCTCATTTACTTAGTTTTTAAGTGTAGAGTGAATGAGTGCTGTACCTGAGAAGATCTGCAAAATCCCAAAACAGAGAAGCATTTTCCTTCCGATTTATATTTCATTTGTTCCTCATCCACTTTAGAGAACGGAACTATGTCACTCCCGTAGCGGAACCCTAGGGAGCAGGGAAAGAGCAGCTGTGAAGCATCTGGGGCCTCGTTTTCTTCAAGCTGAAACCCGCTGTACACAGACAAGCACAAGACATGCCCGGCCCGCAGCCAGTCTCCACACACTACTCTCTGCAAACCAGGTCCGGCCCCTTGTCCTCGGTCAGGGAGCTGGAGAAGCAAGTACACAAATACCACATATGCGGGGCCTTCAAAAAGGTCATGGAAAGATGGAATGAAAAGATACTGGAATGTGCCCACCAACGGTCTGAAGTCCCCTCATATATTTTAAAAGACAATTAAAATCCAATCACACTTTTCAAGTAGCACCTTCTGAAATCTAGTTACCTTAATGATTATGTGGTCTATGAGAGTAAGCAAGGAGGCAAATGCAATGTACTTGCTATCCTCCCAAGATACACCCTGGCTGACTGAAGTACAAGAAGGATTTGTAAACATAATAATAAGAACACATTTGTTCAGAAACCTGAAAATGCCCTGGGGAAATTTTCAGAACAAAATGTTCTCAAAAACACACTCTGGGGCTATACAAATGCCTAATGGGAAAAGCCCAAACTCTTCTATTTAATGGTAGAAAGTTCTATTTAATGAAGCACTCTAATGATAAGTTGCTTATTATTTTACATGTAAATCTATTTGTAAGGATTCATTATACTCTTTCTACTTTTGCAATCTTTAGGACATAGGCACTTGACTACAAAGCAAAGCAACGAGTCTTCGCCCCTGTCCCCCTAGGTCTGGATCGGCATTGTGTGCCTGGCACCGGAGAGCACCCGCCTCTTTACTCTGCGGCCGACGAGACTTGTATGTGGGGCAGATTCTGTGAGTGGGTGACTTGTTCTGTCAGTCTGTTGTTGCCTTGCATTTAATTAAGAAGAAACAAATTTCTATTTATACTGCATGTTTATTTAAAAAATCTAGCAATGAAAACAAAATTAAAATACAAGAGAAAATGAACAAACGTATGGCACTTGATTGAGAGAGGTATCTGGACTAAACGTTTTTCCTTTTCTCTGCTGTCAGTCATTTTACCTGAACAACTGAACAGTAACTTAAAAATTCTAATTAAGACTAGCTTGTGTTTTCTGGCTTATCTACTGCAAGGTCAGAGAAGTAACTGTAGCCTCTGTAAATGGCAAAACATATATAGAATAGACTACAACTTTTAACAATTTTCCTTTGCCCACATGTATATATTATTACTGCTAATAAGAAATTTCTCAACCTCAGTGGGTAGAGACTAGGTGAGGGAATCATATAGGTACTTGCACATCGGTACAGCAGAAAAACTGCACTTTTATCGTCTTTGAAACCAATCAACCCGTCTCCCCATCACCCGCTAGGAGTTTCTTTTGGCCCACAATAACCAGAGCTGCGCCCTCTGCTTGCAACAAGGCAGTGGCACTCTCTGCGCTGGTTCCTTCTCCTTCCATTTCAACCCACACCCAGCCCTCAGATTCATTTTCCTAAAACACACGACTAACGATGACACTGCTTCTCAAAACTACAAACAGCTCGTCACTTGCAAAATTGAATATAAAATCTAGCCTATCAGTCAAAGCCCTTCAAAACTAGGTTCCAACTCAATCAAGGCTAGGAGCACAGCCTCTGGGGTCAGACAGCTCTGGGTTAGAGTTCCAATTCTGCCAGTGGCTAGCAGGATGCCTTAGGACAACCTCAGTTCCCTTATCTGCAAAATGGAAATAAGAGTTATCAAAGGAATTGTTTCAGAGTTGGCAAATCAGAGCTACGGTATGCCAGGTAGTACATGCTCTGGCAGTCTAAAGTCCCTGACTTCTATCTTAGCCATCACTCAGCCTCTGCTACACTTTAGCTCTTGACTATTCAGATACTGGGCTGGTTTCTAAGTCCTTTGGACGGAGATGCCATGTAGAACCACAATGCCAAACGGAGATAAGTATCGTTTAAACGATGCTAGTGAAAGCCCTTAAACAAACACACTTCTCCTATGCCCCTAAGTTAATGTAAGCAAGCATGCTGGGCAAGACATCTTAAACTGTTGTTTAAAAGAAGAATCAGCATGGAATTCAAGAATAAATACAAGTAAGCAAGAAACTTGCTTCAACCACATTAATACACCTAGCTAATGAATTTTAAACTTTAAAATAAAGCCTAGTATGAAGTCCGGTCACCAGGGACGTTTAAAACTCTGCGAGTTGGAATACCAAGTGTCCTCCTGGACACCATCCTACCTAAGACTTGGCAAAGGAGCTACAGGATCCGGGGTTCCATCCATTAGCTCCCTTCCCCACCCCCACCCCCAATCTGTATCTCGGTAACTCAGAGAAACAGAGAATACAAAGGACTTCCAAAAAGTTCATTAGAAACTAATTAAATATTTCCACGAACTTGTTGAAGCCTTCTATCCACGCCAATAATAGTACAACTCATAGGCGGCCTCATATCACTTGGAAGAAAATCCCTTTTAAGGAGGCCACAGTGACAAGTCTTACTGGAATACCTTGAATAGTGTCTTCTTTTGAAACTTCAGTTTCATCATCATCATTTAAGCAATAAACTGTTTCCTTTTTAATATCTTCTCGCTTGAGGGTCCTTGCATCCACAACTGTCCATGTCTTTTTAACTTTTTCCTGTAGAATCTGATTTCCCCAAGAAAAATAAAGGGATAACCGGTAAAACTAGTGATTCAAATTGATGGAAAAAAACTTTATACTCTCTGGTTCACACAGAAAAACCCAGAACGTTTATTCTACAGCTACATGATTTTGCTGGCTCTTGCCTATTATGGCAGTCCTGGTTCATTTAATAATAGAATACACACAATAAGTATCTCTATGTTTCTTTTTCCCCTCAGGGTAATTAATCAACAGATAAAATCAGTGATTTCTTTATCCATAAGAACTTCCTCTCAGAAGCAACAAAGCCCACATGGAACAACATATCAACCTGTGTGATCACGGGGTGTCGAACGGATCACTGAAGACAAATGGGTGCA